CTTCACGCTCCGCCAACTCCTCGAACATCGCCACATTTACCACAGCCCACTATCGTCCATACCGAAACAGACGGACTGCGTTTGACTCCATTGATTGACCTGTCTTATTGCGTTGCTTGCTGAATAACGGCGTGCCTGAGAAATATACCGCTATCGTATGTACAGTTTACCTCCATATCTCCGGCAGAGTGAGGGTCTACGGCAAGTTTCCTCGCCCTTCGCTGTCAGTACCGGTGTGCGACAGGGCTGCCCTGTGCTCCCATTCCTCTTCAACTTCGCAATCAAGGACGTCCTGTCGAGAGCTCTGGAAATTTTTCAAAATTTCGGTTTGGAGGTTATACTGGGTGAGCGCACGACCGGCCTAGATTATACTGATGCGAATAGAATGTAAAGAAAATGAATGCACGAAGGAATTGCGTTGGACCAATCAGAACGGAACGAACATTAACTATCAGATGCAAGAAACCGAATGCAGGAACGCCACTGACTGCGTCATGTCTGATACAGTCTCTTACCATTGGTGTGGACCATCCCGAGGCCCCCATCCACGAAGACGGGTCGCACTCGCCTGACCAAGTGTCACAATCAATTTCTGTATCTTACTATGCCACCTCATGGATCGGCTACCTCGCGGTTTCACTCAACTTGGTGCAGCCACGGCATCTAATGCGCGCCGGGGAAGCCGATCAACGGGCATACAGACGACATGGCCTAACCAACGTAAGCGATTAGGATTCAGTAAACACTCCAGAGGCACCAAAAGGCTTCTTGCCAAAAACTAACTGGCGGACCTCAGCATTGCTTACCTGGTGTGCCAACCAGACGTGAGCAATACTCTGCAAGCACCGGTGGTTAAACATGGCCAAGCGTTTACTGTCTTCGCCGGGGACTGACCAGAGCTTTGATCCGTAGAGTAAGACCAACCTTACCACAGCGCTATACACCTTAATTTTCACTGACATACTGATATCCCGCCGTCTCTGGAAAGCCACACGGGCCTTGCTGATACGCGAAGTAACTTCCTCAGTGATGTGACTACCAGAGGTGACACAGTTGCCAAGGTAAGTGAACCGATCCACCACTTCCAGTGGTTGTTCGAGTATAGCTAGAACCGGAAGTGTGTCGGTTTAGTCCTTCAGCACTAATTTGCACTGTGAAGGTGCAAAGCACATGCCGAAACGTGCGGCGCTACGCGTCAGTCTATCCAGCAGTGCTTGCACAACCATTGCGTAGAACCCAAGAAGAGCTATGTCGTCCGCATACTCCAGATTTGTCAGTCGGTCACCTGGTAGAACTTCCACTCCGGTAGAGTCTGAAAGAGCGAAGTCACTCACGGTCATTTGGATAACGAAGTTGAACAGCGAAGGAGATATAGGACAAGGCTGGCGAATCCCACTTGCCGTGGGGAACTCAGAAGACAGTTTCTCGTACACCAGTACACGGCCTCGGGAGTAGAGGTAGATAAACTGCACAGTGGAAGGGAATTTAGCCGGCATGCGCTTCATGGATAGACTGCCGCAAGCTGGCACGATCTACAGAATCGAAGGCGGATTTCGAATCAAGGAAAACCACCATAGTCGGTCGTATGCATGTGTCTTTGCTCTAAACTTGGCCAAGTATGTATGTGGTCGACACAAGCATGAGCAGGGCGGAAGGTAGCCTGGCTCTCAGTAATTCGGTTCTCACCGGGACCAGTAAGTCGTCGAAGAATGATAGGCGTGAAAAGTTTGATGGCAACGGAAACATGGCTGATGCCTCAACGATTTTCGCACAAAGTATGCTGACCGTTCTTGAAGATGGGCACGACGGTTGACAGTCGCCAGTCTGGAGGAACCACTTCAGTGTTCCAAATCATGTTAATTAGAGAAGCAAATTCAGTCAACAAAGTGACTACCATCTTTCAGCAAAGATGGAGTCCAGGAGCCTTCTTCCGTTTCAACACGCTTAGCTCATGTCGAATCTCTCCCAAAGTTGGCTATGTGACATCTACTTCCCACCTCGGATCAGGCGACTCGACCAGCGGCACTGTCGCAGCAGGCGTGATAAACTGCTCTTCAAAATGTTCCGCTCAACGGGCTAGTCGACGAGGTTGAGAATGGATCAACGGTCCATCTTTCTCAACTATTGTCTCGTTAACTGATGGCTTTCTTGGACCTATGTTCCGGACGAGCCGGAGTAGTACTCGGCTGTTCACAACAGCACTGGCTTTCTCCATCTCACAGGCCCTTAACACCCACCAACATTCTCGGTCGATTGGAAGACTCCTTGTCAGACGTCGTTTCAGGCAGTTATGGACGTGCTGAAACTCAGTGCCCATCGGAACCTGTTTCCATGCTTCGATCAAGCTGATCGATGCCTCAGGTATCCATTCACAGTTACGACGTCTCGTTGTGTGCACAGCATGCACTAAGACATTCTTCATGGCACATTTGAGACGATCCTAGTTATCGTTCGTCTCATCACCCTCATTCATCACTGACAATTGGTGGGCTAGCTCGTTATGGTATTGCTGAACGGCAGTTTGTGGTTACAAGTTATAAATAGGAAGTTTAGAATATAGACATTTCTTTGAAACGGGAAGAGTTAGCGCCAAGTGTGCGCGCACTAGAATCTGGCCGGAATCCAGATACCTGCTCCAAATTGACAGACAGTCTTGGACTGACTTGCGCCATCTATAGATGATAGCAATATGGTCATTTTATATTCGGGTCATTGAGGAATCCGATGGGGACCAGGTGACGCGGTGTGAACGATTTGTGCTGGAAAGCAGTGCTGCGTAGGTCAAGGTTGTGGTCAGCACACATTTGCAGGAATCGATCGCCATTGTCTGGTTGGCGTGCATGGACTCCGAAGCGGCCTCCCAGGTTATGTTCAGAGTCTAAAAGACGACCTCCTTGGGCATTTAAGTCACCAGCAATAATCACGATGTCAATATTCTTCACCATGCGAAGATATGAAAGCTGTTGATAGAAATCGTCTTCGATATCCTCTAAACCACATTTATTAGGCGCATAAACGGAGACGATGAAAAGGCGCCTTTTCTTCATACAGTACTTATTAACTCTAATAGAGGTTCGATGTCGAACCTCATACGGCTGTTCACCTTCAGCATGTTTGCTGAGGTCAATACCAACACCGAAAATACCCTGAGCCATCGACTCAGTAACGCCAGAGACGCGAAGAGTGTAGCCATTGTCGTCAGAATCAGAACCATGTAGTCGAAGATTTGTCATGATGCTGTTATCTTGTATGCGTGTTTCGGAGACAGCACGCATCAATACCAAGAGAGTGAAGTGTGAGAGTCCGTGGTGCCTGCTGATCGATCTGACAGAGCGCGGGCGTTAAAAGTATCAATGTGAAATGAAACTATGCTTGATGGAAGATCTACATGTATTGGTAGCAGCAGCTGCGAAGTCAGCGGCAATGTCTTGCTCAATATACGGGGAAGAAGAAAGAGAAGATGAAGAGTATTGTCGACGTGGTCGAGAGGACAAATGATACTCACCAGCTACCCACTCCGAGAGAGGGTTTTGTTTGACATGCCCTGCTTCTAGCCTTTGACCCAACAGTCTGACACATTGGGGTTCGCTCGAGAGACTCCACTCGGAGCTTTTGGCTCAATAGCCTAACCCATAAGGCAGTGGGTAGCAAGTCCAGCTCGGGTGTGATTGCAGAGACGCATTGGGACCTGCTTGAGGTCTGTCACACATAGCCTTTAAAGATTTAGAAAAGTGCACACCTGTTTTACGACCGTATTATGTTACGTACCTGCGATCACGACCAGCCGCAGGTGGGAGTTGGTGGGTTCGAAGCAATTTGACCAGGGGCTGCCTGTCTTGAGGCCGGTGGTAGCAAACCGTTGAACACCGGAAGGTGCCCTCTCTACGTCAGAGACAATGCGTGACACTCGTGCTCTACGCCAATCGAGCTGTGGGTTTATAACCTGTAGACCTATTATCTCCCATGGCTAGAAAGAGAGGCATTGATTGACCTCTGCATAACCTTCGAAGTGGATTAGATTGTGAGACTGAGTTAATCTGATCCCCAACTATTGATCTATCTGATATGAGTGGCTCTGAAGGCACTTAGAAAGTGCCACCCAGCATAACTCAATGGGTCAAGGGAATACGCAAACCATGGCGCCAGGCTCGTTGCGATGGTCTTAGAACAACAGATAGCGCTGAATATGTTGCGTTGATTTGGGCACTTACTACGTGTGCCCTGCCACCGCTTACCGAGAAGGGTCTTGATTTGCCCGCCGGATATTGATTACTGCGAGACTCAAGATGGGCAAAAGTTCACTTGGCAGTGGCAAGTAATGTTGCTGACTACTGAAGTGCGCGCTGTTGACTCGTTTCGCCTTCCGGGCTGGAGTTAACGTTACCCGCGTTGTGCCTCGCTCGATACGTTAAAGACATGGCTCGCAATTGGCAACATTGGCGTGTCTGCTGTCGTCTCATAGTCGGATTGGTTTTTTAAAATGTGTTTGGTGCTGTCATTTGTGGGGTAATGGCTGATTTTGAAAGGGGGCATTAAAATTCGCAATGAAGCTGTCTTGCCTATGTTGCCTTATTTTTGTACGTCAGTCGAGGCGTAGGCGCCTTGGTTCTCCTTCTTCCCCCTTTTTATTCTTCATTCCATAAGTCCTTGTGGTTGTACGGCATTGGGGCGTCCGTTCACTTGACTGATGTAGTACTGCTGTTATTGTTTGTTTATTTTGCACTGTGTACGTCACTTTTCTTCTTAACGCTGTTGTGGCCACTAACTGCCCATTAGTGATGTAAAGGCATCCCTTCTTTAATCTAGATATCACCTATATGACTTTGTGATATAACACTTTACCAACCCAATCGCAGTTGGCATAAAGTGGTTGTGGTTTCCCGGCTGACCCAGTCGTGATCTTGTTTTCAGCATCATTCATACGTCACCCCATTTCCATGTTCAGCTGTGTTGAGTTTCCTCTGACGAACTTTCTCTTTGTTGGATTCTTTACTACGCAGGGAGATAGCTGTTCCAACAGTGTTGAAAGCGTTGGTAGTGACCTTTCGGACAGTTTGCTTAATCAGTCACGACAGAAGACAATGCTTCTCGATGCCAAGTCCTCTACTCCTGGACCGGACGCGGTGGATCCGAGAGTAAGCTGAATGTCTTCTCTCCCCTCCATCCGAAATGTGTAGGTTCACCCATATGCTTCCACATAAAAACCAGCGAATGTGTCTGCCCCTCTGGATGATCTCCGTTGTGTGGCTACCTAGACAAGTGTAACAACGACACCAGTTATAGTTATCGACTTACGAACCGATTTTTGATTCGCATCCAGCACTCCCGCTTTAAATTTTACAAAATCGTGCGTCTACCGCATTTTAGTTGCCCATGTTGTCAATAGTTCTCGACTCCAACCTGTTTATCTTCTACTTGTTTCAGAGTACCATTAACCCTTTTCGGAACACAGTTAAACTTCCCATTTTCATCTATTAGTGCACACGAAACAATAAGCGGACATAGTGAGTCCGCAACCGAACAATAAGCACCGATCTCCCTTTGCTAGATCTTTTGGGGGGCAAGCCCGCTTTTCTCGTCCATCGTAGTAATCTATAGGTTTCTATGCTTTTATCCATGGTCTCTTACGACAGTAGAAATTTTCATTTTCTGTCATCTCATGTGAATGTGGCGTGTTTATCGCACCCTATTCTACAGAAGTCACTGGTCGTTTCTCATGCGACTTGCACCATTACTTCAAATCCACACGTAAGTGAGCAACCATGGATGTGTTAACATCGTCACCGTCGCTCACTACCTGCTATTTTCGCTAATAATCTAACAGCATAACCTCAGCCTCGACTTCTCCTGCAGCTGTTTGTGGTGTGTTTACTGCTGACCAATTCCTCAAGGCAGGCACATACCTCTCCCCTCAAATCTCACGAGAAAGTCCCCATCTCATCCCATTCATTTGGGTGCGAACAGATTCACTGCGCTTACTGTGAGGTCACCGACTCAGCATTCCCTACCCCCCAAAATGCTTGTCAACCATCGACCTGACTGATTCTGGCCTTAGTAGTGCAAGGCGCATCATACGAATGTGACTGTCACAACTGATAGTATTTCACTTAAGCGGATGCTCGGTTCAACTGCTTGAGAAATGTAATGAAGCGATATATAACTATACAGGTACTCGGGCCAGGGGATATATTACCAGGCACTTAGCACTACTGCTACTCCATTCTTGGTGAATAATCAAACCCGAAGGGTGGCTTCTCTCATTTGCGTTCATACTTACCCCGACCTATTTAATGGATACGCCTACGATCTTGGTTCTTTGTGAACCTGTTCATCACTTCTTGTTTGAGACACACGAGACAACTTGCATCGCACTACCATGTATACAACAAAAACCCGGTGTCTATTTATGACTACTGCTTGTCTGTGTTTCTCTGTTGTTAGCTCCCCTAGTCAGTGCTTGACCACCACATATATTCGCACTAGCTAAACCCCATGGCAAGCTCGCCTTTATCTGTTTCTTTGCAACACGGCTTTTGTTCATCCACACGTTCCCCTACTCTGCTGATCGGACGCCGATCTGTTATGTGGGGTAGGGACTGACCAGAATGTCACGGCCTCTTAGGACAATCAGCATTTACAGTGTTACGAAGTACCCTGACTGTACAAACGCATTACATGTCGGTGTATACTGGCCTCTGCACCATTGCCTATGGCAGGTGTCTAATGGGTGCCCCGACGCGCCATCTGTTTTCTCGGACACTTGTGTTAATTCAGATATGCTTATCTCTAACTCACAGAAGCAAAGAATGTACTTTCGTCAATTTTAGTTAGGCCCTATTGTTCTGTTGTACTTCGGAGAGTGCTGTTCCTCAGTATCTCTTGTCCAATACTATATTCCTATCATCATCATCATCATTGTGCTTCCACGGCGACTTTCAGATTCGAGTGATTGATCCAAACAGCGGTCGCAGTGGTTCTTGTGATTTCAACGATTTGCACTATCCATCCACACCGAATCGGCCAGCTCGAACTCGCTTCAGTGCCACACACACTCCACCTATGTCGGCCGATTTACAACGTTCTCCCATCCCGCCTCAATTCGCGTCGTCTGATGCACACCTGTACGCAAACGTGGAGATTTCAAGTACTGACGATTTCACTGGAAGCGATCCTCACGTGTACCACGCGATTGACGTTGCCTATGATTTCCAACAAGGTAGGCGCATGGAATGGCATTTCATTCACTTCTATATGCTCTTTGTTTGACTAAAACAACTACTGGTCTACATCGCGCTCTTCTCTGGGAAAAGGGAAAATGCGAACGAAACGAGCACGTTGTCCAACCTACTTACGGTGAAATTTTTGTTGGTACTATTTCGGTTGATCCGAGCTGATCTCGAATTTCGTTGATTAGGTTGTCACACATTTACGCTTCATTGATCCATCAGCTTTGGCTTTTTGTTGTTGCTCACTAACCTCGCTCGTGCTGTTTCAGCCGTCACAGACAGCAACGCAAACTCGTCTTCTGAACCAGTTCCCGGTGTGGCTGATTCCGGTCCAAGTTCAGCTGAACTCGTGTCCTCTACCACAGGCCAGTTTGCCACTCTGAAGACGAGCCAAATGATGCGTGGGGTCGCTTTCAGCATTGATTCCTCCGGCCGTCCCTCCATCGGATCCCCCACCACTGCGTCCGCCGCTACTTTGGGTTTCCCACATTTGGCTGAGGGCCGCGCTTCAGCGTTCTGGAGGGATCAGATGAGTGAGCTAAAACGATTACGCACACAACACAACAAACATTTGAAGCAACTGCTGGACAAAAACAATGTGAGCTATATTGCCCATATGATTTCCGCTCGGTTCGATGCTACTCATCATGTGCATGGGGGTAGGACGTTTGTTGCCTGCCCGTTAGCTATTTTCACCACGTCTCTTTTGCACTGTATTGGCACTCCGTGTAGGTGTAGAGAGCAGCATGGGAGACCCTTGTCAGCTCCGTCGATTCCTATTCAGTGCAGACTTGAGGCGACTGACTGCGAGATACTAATCCTACGTAGATCGTCGCCGTTCCAGTAGGGGCAGCTGTCACCTCTGTTTGTTTCACCACAGTCAGCGACCGTTATGCAAGCAATTTACCAGCAGCCCACGACTTATAACAGTTGGCCATCACTGCCGCTCCTTCGCCGATCGTCCTGTGCAATTGAGGTACTGTCTGGTAGGAAGAATGTCCCATTGGATTCGAAACTACATCAACCTCATCACTACCTCGATATGCCAGTGAGGATTGGTCCTTCAGTTCACTGGACGTGCCTGCACGATACACGTTAAATCCAACCTATCTCAGTAGTAGTTGCTTATCAGCAACTACACGATTGCACGCACAGCGTGATAAACATCTGTTCAATCTGATTCATCACGAAAGTTTGTTCGCTTTCTTATTGTCCGTTTCCAGTTATCCGTTACAATCGTGTGGCTGCATATGCCTTCTGAACGCTGGTTGACACCGATATATATATATATATATATATATATATATATATATATATATATATATATATATATATATATATATATATAGTTTGACATTGTCTGGCTTTAGGATTAATCCTGCAAACGACGAATGGCAAGCGTCAGTTTGTTTCTCCCTGTTGAGGTAATTTTGTTTGAAGCAAGCCGGTGGTTAACATTAATCAGGTGTTTTAACTCAGCCTTCCTTTGCAGTCTCCGGGAATGTATTGGTTCGCAGGGATTAAGTTATCAGCTACTTTGTTGAAAGTAAGCCACTGGCTAGTTAGACGATGCAGAGCGCCATGGTAGATTCCACTGGCGAGATCGGTAAAAGGTGAATGGTAGGTCAACGCTAAAGCTTTATCTTTTGTTGCATAGCTTTTGAAAATAGGTAGAGCTGAACCCAATTGTTCAAGCTCCAGGGGTAATTAGTTCAGAGAGCTGATACTCCAACTGATGTGAAGATGTTATCAACGTCAATCGTTCGAGAAGCAGGACGATACCGTGCATAGATAGCTAAGGATGATAGTCCGAGTAAGTTCAATTGTTCATTTAGGTTAACCTCTACAAACCAAATTAAGACGAAATAACCGGCAGAGAGGGACTCTTCGCGCACCAGAAGAAGGGAAATAGACTACCACCGTGTTGCGAATATTGACATGTTACATTCGTTTTATATGTATACGTTGAGTACAACCCTTTGTATTAGCCTTCGAAGTATAAAGATTATATGGGAGGTAGCTAAACAACGGTGGCTGGGTCTGAGGAGAGAAAGGGATACGGTGCGCGTGGCAAGCAGGACGAAGGAAGTATGTAAAAGTAGCACATATGAGATTTGTAAAAGCTAGGCATCAAGTGAAGGAATATGTGGGGCAAAATGCGCTTAGCGTATCGAAGAGTGTAAACAAGTGTTGGCCTGTGGTTAAGGGAAATAAGAAAGCAGCAATGTCTGTGTGGAAGTTGCGTTTCCATCCTAAAGTGAAGAGCCTTGGTGTCGGTGGATAAGTGAAACAATCAACGGAGAATAGATAAATCACCGGCAATGAACTCTAAGTGGACCAGCAACAAGTATTGGGTATGAAGTAGGCGTCACAGGCGGCGTAGGAGCTATGCTTTAGGTTAAGTAAGCTGGACTAAGGGCGCCAGCTATGTTTGTCATGGCGATACAGAGACGACGGGGGATGGCCACAAGTTACTGAATATAAAGAAGTAAACGACTGCAGTTTGTGTTTTTTAAGTAACCCATAAAGTTGTGTGGGCTGAGAGCCAACAGGAGAAAATCGATCAAACAAAAGGCCATTTATCATATACACCTAAGGCTTTCCAAATCTTTGTCTCATCTTCTGCGTTCCTGTCATTCTGGACTGTCACACAAATGAAGTTTCACATGTCTCGCAAATTAACGTGGGTTTGCGACGTGTAAGCGTCTGTCAATTAATACCTATTCATATCCTTTATCTGTGCCCCATGCTGGGGCTGATGTTGCATTCTTGATGCTTCTTCACCGCAGTTGGGCTAAACCAACTTACACTTAAACTAAGTCTTTTTAAGCTGGCTAAGTTTCATTCCACTTTATTTGGTTTGCTCTGCCTACCTGAATAATCTTCTATTAACTGGCCACGTTGCTTACACTAACTGCGCTTATCTTCGGTAACTTTGCGTTTGTAGCATTTTTAAGTAACTTGTGGACATTTTTCCCTTATCGCGGATTCGTTGCTAACCAACTTACTTCATATGCTAATTTAGCGAAGAGTTATGCCACCGTATCTGTATGCATTATTGGGTTTGTTTTATTTCACCTTGTCGTTTCAAGTGATCCGCTGTTGCTTGATATCCCCGGTGTGGCTGCGCTTGATGTGCATGTTGACAAGGTGTCTACCTGTCTATTACCCACTACCTCGTCCATACTGGCTCCAGGAGACAGTTGGTCGTTGCTGGAGGGGACGGGGTGCACGGTCCTTGTGGCCGTTCTAGGCTGGAAGAGCGGTTCCATGCACTCAGTGTGGAGCGGACTACGGTCCAGCCACCGTCTTGTGTGTGCTTGATTCCCCAAATACAGCGTGCCTGTGTTTGCCTGTGAAGGAGTGTGGGTCGGCTTCGTTGATGAAACGTGGCTCCCATCCACATGCCTCCCCGGTCTTATTCCTTCGGGTTTACATTGGATATGAGGTGTGGTTGAAGCTGTGGGTGGTGCAGCGCAAGCCACCCATGGTCCCTCTGTAGGCGCAGGCGTCCTGTGGCTCGCCACAGCGACAGGCAAATCCGAAACCAGATGCCGCCAACCATATATATATATACATATATATTTATTTATTTATTTATTTATTTATTTATTTATTTATATGGCGGGAGAGCCTATGGTGCACTGAGCATGGTAGCCGCTAGATCCTAACAAATGGTCTGCCCACTGCGGCTACGGTTGTGCCATGGGCTCATCTCCTGGACGCCTCCTCGTGGCGACCGCTGGGTGGAGTTGGGTTACGCCCTTCTCCCTATAAAATCCAGGACACCAATCCAAGAGTCAGTGAACTGACCATGTGCTAGACCCGCTGCATTTAATCGAAGGCTTTGGCTGTCAGGTGTTGGCGCCCTGCCAGTATCCTAGTCCATCCTCTTCGGAGGTTAGGAAGTGGTCGATGACCCTTCTCCCGTAAAATATAGCCACGCATTGTTTCTGACGATAAGAGGGCACCTCCGGGTGTTCAGTAGTTTGCTACTGCCTGCCTCAAGCCAGGCAGCCCCTGATCGAATCAGTGCAAACCCGCCAAAACCCTCCTGGGTCTAACCTTGGTCACAGGTGCGATTGCCCACCAATGCAATGGTATGCCTGCGCGCAAAGCACTCAGCATCGGGTGCTTGAACGTGCACACATTAATGGACCAGAAGTGCAGTGAGCGCCCCGAGCGACGTCTCGATGGAAATGGCGCGCTACAACATCGATATTGCGGTGCTCAGTGAAACCCGGCTTGCTGAGCAAGGTAAGTTGCATGAAGCAGGTGCTGGCTACACGTTCTACTTGGTGGGCAACGCCGCCTCAGCAGCACATGATCATGGGGTCGGATTTGCAATATCCGATCGCCTCCATGGCCAGCTGGTCGGTGAACCAACTTTCATCAGCGCGCGACTAATGACTGTTCGCCTACGACTCGGAAGAGGTAAGCTTACCACTTTTATAAGCACGTAGGGCCCGATCATGTGTTATCCTGATGACACGCGTGATCAATTCTACACTCAGCTATCCTCCGTGATACGGTCTGTGCCGAGGAGCGACCGACTATTTCTGCTGGGTGATTTCAACGCGCGCGTTGGGCGTGATGCACCGGTGTGGACAGCTGTCATTGGTCCGCATGGCATGGGTTCAGCGAATGCGAACGGTGACAGGCTGCTCTCACTGTGTGCTACTCACAGCCTGACGATTACGAACACTCGATTTGCACTGAGTGCGAACGATATAGCAACTTGGACGCTTCCACGGAGTGGTCACACTCACCTGCTCGAATATGTCATCGTACGTCAGTGTGATATGCGTGAGGTGCGCATGACACGTGTACTGCGTAATGCTTAGAGTGGCACTGATCGCAAATTGGTGCGGACCAAACTGTACATGTATTTTCGTAAAAGTATGGAATGCACACTAACCGTGAATCGGAGTAAGTTTAATATTCTCTGACTCGGTACTGTAGAGAAAGGTATTGAGCTGGAGAAGGCGATGGCTTCACGACTGTGTGATGTGGACTGCATAGCCACAGTGGGCGACCTGTGGCACCACATTCGCCACCAGGTGACAGCTGCTGCCGAGGAGACCATCGGGCGCGCGAACTCTAAGCGGCCTGATTGGTTTGATGAGAACAATGCGACGATTGGCGCATTGGTGTCGGGGAACAATATAGCATTTGCTGCACATGTGGCAGACACTTAGTGACTTGCGGAAGAAGTCAGTTTCGCAAACTTCGACGACGACTGACCCGAGAGCTCCGTCGCATAAAAATGCATGGTGGACGGAGAAGGCGAAGCAGATGGAATGCTACGCCGAACGCCGCCAACACAAGGAATTCTTTGACTCCTTGAAGGCGGTGTATGGACCGAGATTGGAGCCGCTGAGGACGCTGATCAATGTTAGCACAGGCGCCACCTGCACGCAGACTGCAGACATAATGCAGATCTGGCGGAAACACTTTGACTGTCTCTTGAACAACGGTTCAGAGATCAACTGGCCTATATTGAACGGCCTCAAGCAGCACGATGGGAAGGCGAGTCTGATGGACACGTCTACACTGGATGAGACGCAGTGAGCACTTGCTCAGCTACGAAACGGCAAGTGTACCGGGGCCGACGGGATCCTGCCTGAACTATTGAAACACGGCGGACCCGCGTTGGTGACTGCGCTGCACCATTTGGTGCCACGCGTATGGATTGAGGAGGAGGTGCTTGCTGAGCTGAAGGATAGCCTTTTGCTACCACTGTACAAGGGCAAAGGTAGCAAGCAATGTTGCACGAATTATCGTGGCATCAACTTACTGAGTTGTGTGGGCAAGGTGATTGCCCGAATCCTGCTGAACCGCCTCGTCAGTCAGGTTGTGGAACCTAACGTGGCGGAAGAGCAGTGTGGATTCTGTTCGGATCGCAGCACTATAGATATGGTGTTTGCAGCTCGTCGGTTGCAGGAGAAGTGCAGACAACGACACCAGCCTTTGTATTCGCTTTTTGTTGATTTCACCAAGGCATTTGATACGGAGAACCGCGAGGCATTGTGGCTGGTGTTTGGTAAGTTTGTTTGTCCGCCTAAGTGTGAGTTTAATTGAATGTCTGCACAGTGGTATGCGGGCGAGGGTGCAGATGCGTGGAGAGACATCGGATGACTTTGCAGTTGTCACTGGTGTGAAGCAAGGCTGTGTCTTAGCTCCTGCCGTGTTTTATATTTATCTTGGTACCGTGATGTCTTGTGCTTTTGATGCGGCTTGTGCTCACGGTGTTCGTGTGGAGCACCGTATTGATGGTGGGTTGCTGAACATCCGTCGTTTCGGTGCAACAACTCTAGTCGGTGAGACAAATATCCGTATGTTGTTTGCTGACGTCAGTGCGTTGTTTGCACGCAGCGCGGATGAGTTGCAGCACATGATTAATGCTTTGGCTTCGACAGCGGCCAAATTCGGGCTCATCATCAGCATTAGCAAAAATGTCTGTCTCTTTCAGGATTCACCGGAAGTACAACCTTCCGTATTGCCGAAAATCAGCGTTGGTTCTGAAGTATATAAACCACCTCCCGCTTCTTCTACCTTGGGAGTGTGATGTCGACTGACCAGCAGCTACACAGTGATCTGCGTCTCGAAGACAGCGGCGGCATTCGGGAAACTAGAGTACCGAGCGGGAACAACCATCAGCTTACCATTGGCACGAAGCTAATGTACAAATCCATGGTGCTGTCCGTTCTTCTATACGGCAGTGAAACCTGGACGATGTACCGGCGGGATGTGCGATATCTTGAGCGGTTCCATCAAGTGTTTGCGACGGATTTTTGCGCATTGGTTGGGACGGCAGTTGCGGACACGGAAGTGTTGCTTCGGAGTTGAATGTATGCACTGGACTGCATACCTTTTGCTGAGACACCTGGGGCAATTGGGTTATGTGAGCCGTCTGGATTCGACGCGGATACCGAAACAGCTATTATATGGTCAGCTGAGTATTGGGAAGTGGCATGTGGGGAAACCAAAGTTACGTTACCAGGACATGATCAAATTGAGCGTCACACGTTTTTAATCCTGGTTGCAGGTCATGGGAATCGAAGGCGGTTGATCGGCGCGTGTGGCGCGACATGATCTCGAAGGAAGTTGCCGAAATGCGGGAGAAATACCTCATGCATGCAGAGAAGAAGCGGCGGACACGGATGGGTTGTACTCCATCTACATCGAGCGCTTGGTGCTGTAGCACATGCGGTCGCGAGTGCCTGAGTCAGGCAGGCCTAATGAGCCATGAGCGAGGTCAGTCAGGACCACCACCGAAGCGACGACGTGTCCTGCAGAGAACGTAGGGAGAACTGGCGCAGCGTTTATAGGTACGCTGCGTGCTTGCAAATAGACCACATATTTTCAATGGGGTTTAAATCTGGTGAATTCCCAGGCCAGGCCCAGATGGTTATTTGATTAGTATTGAAAAAAGTCTTGACCATTTTTGATGTGTGGCACGGGGCCAGATCCCGTTAAAGAACTGATTTCTATTTCTTTCTCCCCCAAATCACGTTTTAATGCGTCACTAATCTTTCGAGGATCTTTACCACTTTCCCGTATTAGGTAAGCGTCATCCCTGGCAGTGGTTTTCCTCTTAGGACCACATTTCCCTTTGCGTTTTGGCGAAATGCATCCCGTTTCCTTTTTCTTTTTGACCACACGGCTGACGGTTGCCGGACTGACGCCTACTATTCTTGCTATGTCCCTGTAAGTCTTGTCTGTGTGTTTGTGCAAGGTCACGATCTTCAAGCGCCTTCTGGGAGTCACGTCCATCTCAAACAATGACTGAATCACAAAAAACAAGAAGTTGAAACAAAAACCTTACTAACCATAAAAAGTATGACGCAGTCTTGGGTGATGTTACGACTAGACATGCGCAGTTATTACATCGTCTGATTCACAAACAATGATGAAATATCTATTCCCAAAATAAAATAAAAAAATAAATGCCAAAAGGGCAGCTTTCATGTATAAAAACATGATATTCATAGAAAAAGAGACACAATGTTAGTTTGTTTCAATTAATGTGCACAAGGATATATATATATATATATATATATATATATATATATATATATATAGGGAGAAAGAGAGGACTAGACGTTGTTCGTTTTTTGTTCCCACCGATTGCAGCTTTAATGCTGTAAAAGGCGCTTTCTACCACGAACTGAATACGCGACCACGCAGTGCTACTATTTCTGATAACATAGTTCTTGCAGGGAAAATGAGTGCACGAGTAAGTCGTGTGAGGTCTTTAGGAGCTCAGCTGGGTGGTAAGTACGGACTTAACTCCGAGCGGACGGACAACGGCGAGCGTGTTACAGCTGTGTGCGTAGCACCAGCATTTTCTTAGTAGCATCGCTTTTAGACACCGTGGGCACCGAAGTGAAAGACGTCAGCGGACGGACTCAAGTCGTAGTGTGGATCATCGGTAACAGAAGCAAGAATATGTTTGCTTGACAAGATGAACCATGAGATCCTCCTTCGGAAGCTGAAGATGTGCGGTGTTAGTGGTTCACTGCACCGGTGGATCAGTGACTTCCTTATTGGTCGAACGTGGAGGGTGCAAGTGATTATTCATTTGACCGAGTGATATCCCTCGACCAGTGGCGTCCCGCAGGGCACAGTCCTGGCACCCATTTTGTTCCTGATTCATATAAACGATTTGCCTCAGCTCATCCCCGGTTTACCGCTGCAAGAGATTAGGGTTGTACACCCTGTCTTATCGTCGAATGCGGGTTGACCTGATCATGACTCACCGGATATTACATCTGGGTGATTACCCCATCTTGAGGCCGCTGCTTATTCTGCGCACACCAAGCAGCACACAATGACACCGGTACAAACTTGTCGTACCGGATTTGAAGCGAGCCGCTCACCGACTCTGCTTCGAGCGGAGGGTGGTGAGTATTTGGAACAACCTGCCTGCAAACAGAGTAGAAGCAAACTCGGTGTCGGAGTTTAGGAAACTCCGGAGGTCGCACTTTGCTGACTTAAGGTTTCGAGAATAATCACCACCATAATAGGTAGATTTGATTAAAAGATATTAGATGTAGCTACACAAAGGCACCTCCACTCGCTGTATTTTCTCAGCATTCACTATTCATTTCGATATTTTCTTTTATTCATATACATTTGTCATGAAATTTTATCCGTCATTTTTTATTCCATGTGTATTAATACTAATTACTCCCAGAATCATGCACCGTTAAATTTGGTGCGCACGATAGTCACCAGTATGGTGCATCCAGTATCGTCTACCGCTGTACACAGAGCTCAGTTAGGAGTAAGATATGGTATGGAGAATACGTAGCTGTAAATTTACTGTGACCTGAGCTCTGTATGTTTGATGCAACTGGCCTATATGGTCACTTTGTGACGGAGTGTATTTGTACGCCTTGATTGGCGCCTTACGATGCTGGCTTATGGGTTACCCCCTGGTATTGCTATTCCAGGTGATTTAGTTGCTCGTTATTCCACTGAGCCATAGTCCATTCTATGACTCTAAACGATCAACACTCTTATGCTTCATATTGTTTTTGCTTAGAGTGGACAATCCATACGCCAATCATGCTTTCGAAGCGCTACGCTTATTTTTCTGTTTATTCAGGCTGAAGAGGAACAGCTGAAATCCAGATTGAATCGGGAGTATGAGGCAACCAAAGTTGCGATGAAGAAGGAGTTTCAACGCTTAGAAGAAGCACATGCTGCTGAAATGGAACGGGAACGAAAGCGTGCTTTTGCTGTGGAAGCCAAGTTGGCTAATCAGCTGGATAACGAGACGAAGCTGCAACTGAAATCCGCCAGGAAGTCAAGAACTCGACCGGTTAGCGCTCATGACCCGCCGGATGCAGCATGTGGCAAGGAACAGGATCCCGTGGAAGCCACACGACGAATGCGTCAAAATTTGACCAATCTAGAATTACGCAAAGCCAAACGGATCTCCTTAGTTCAACTCCAGAATCTAGAGGTAATGTTAATATCCTTTTACTTCTAACATTTTATTTCTTTACATATTGTTGAGTGAATCTGGTCTGCTGGCCCGTAGCCCAAATGTAACAAGCTTGTCTTGTAATCTGACGGCGCTGTTTCGAGCCAGCTTAGGGGCAGGGCAACCTTCGCATTATCCTTAGCCCACGTGCGACCGGTGGTGGTTGCGCGGCAATGAAGCATCGGTACTGCGTACCGGCGTACTGCTGATGCCCTTTGCATCTGGTCTGCGACTGTGGAAATTGCTATGAGTGGTGCATTGGTATGCCTGGTCCGAATATCGTCGAATACCGCCAGAGTAGAACAGGAATCGCCATCGCCTAATGACGGCCAGTCTACCTCCTTGTCTCGATTCATTATTGCTCTGTGTCGGCAAGGTGACCGTAGTACTTTTTCGGTGGTCTCAGTATTTCTACCACTAGGATCAGGTTCGTAGTACCTTGTAACTGCTCGGCTTCGATGGCATTTGCTGTTAACTTGCATCTGTTTTACTTTTCTCAGAGTGAGCACATTCGGCAGTACATCCGTCTGGAACAAAAGGCTGGTGAGGAGATGACCGCATTGTTATTGGAGCAACATCTGAAATTAGAAGAGCTGGAATCGGCTCAACAGAAGCGCGTGCACACCTTACGTTTGTCTCAGTTACAAAAGCAACATGAGGCTGAGATGAACAACCACAACCAGTACATTGAACGTGCAAAAGTGAAGCTCCAAAACAAACACATATTGGAACAAAAGAATCTACCGAAAGACCTTAAGGTTCGTTTAACTTTGAACAGTGATGCAGTTTTGCCACCCTGACCTTTTTGCACAGATTCTCCTGCTGATATCCTCTGCATAAACTTCACTGTCTGTATTTTTGGCAGCAAAGAGAGCTACAGATCTACAAACAATTCCGTGATGCGGCTCGCATTCAAAAGAAACAATTCAAATTACTTCGTGATGAACGAATTAAAGCCTTTCGACGGACGATGGAACTTAGTTCAGCGGGAACAGTATCTCTTGGTTCTACTGACTCTGGAGTAAATGCATCAGGGTCATCTGCGAATTCCTATGCGGACCGTACGGAAGACCAAGAGCGCCCCGTATCCTTGTTTGCTCCCGCGCAAGATGAACGCCAAATTTTGGAGAGCTTGAAGCAGGAGGAGAAGCGGAAGCAAACCGATCTAGAAGCTCAATACAAAAAAACGATAAGCGATTTGTACAAGAGACAAAATGTGAGTCAGACGTTCTTCTTCGCTTGTGTTTTGGTGCCAAGTGTATAGCTTTACTGCAACACCACAACTCTGGATCAGTCTTCTTGTGTAATAACAGTCGCAACAACACGCTGTTCGTTCATTGTTCGCTTGTACTTCTGATTCCATGCTGCAGACATTATCAACACATTTGGGCCTATTATCAAGTTATTAAATCTGTTATAGCTACCTCATAGCGTTGCCAACCGCGTCAGCTTGACATCCGCAAGTCAGTCCCGGTGATTCCAGGCAACTCGGATTCACTCAAAAAAGACCATTATATGCTCTTGTTGGCCGCAGTTGAATTTTGACGGAGCAACTTGGTCTCAACTGGATGGTGGCAAGTCGACGTCTGACTTGTTCGTTTCTACCTCCATGGGCTCTTCGCAGTATCTATGACCAAATTTGGTTGAGTGCTAACCAGAAAACTGTTTCTCCTGTGGCTTAGTTTTTGGTGTGAAGTACTCAACTTCATCTGTCCTGTCGGCACTCTTACAACCTTTAGGGTACTTACCACGCGATGGATTACAAATGCATTCTTTGCACCGCGCTCCAGTTTAATCGCAGTACTTCACGCGGTCGTGTATAACCGGATAGCGCGATACTCCCCTTATTTCGCTGCGTTTCGTATTGCAGTTGGTTTTCAGTTCTGTTTGTAACTTCTCTTCCTTCATATCATGCACAACCATGACTGGTGATTTCCGATTTCAGCAACACGTCAGGCGAATCAATTTCCTAGGCAATATATTACTGGCGTGACCGGTGTGATCTGTGCAATCGCATCGATTGCTTTCTGACATCTAAATAGAACGAATTAAGATGGGTTCCTCTTGCATTACGGCAGGATGTTGTGATGATACACGTGATACCCACCCGTTTCCAGATTCAAACGTAGCAAATCATTTGATCGCTGTGTGGCACGTAGTTCATCGTGCATCTGAACATGGAGTGGGGACATGACCAAATGGTAATTTGGTCAATTTTTCGATTGTCGTCATTAATCAACGAATCGTTCTGGTTGTCTTCAATTTGTTTAGATCCTGTAAAACTTCGACTCGATTTGTTTTGCGCGTGTAATTGCCTGACGACTACAAAAACTAAGTGGGAGTCATTTCGAAGTAATCTTTTGAGTGGATTGCAGGTTGCAATCTTAATCGGCACCACGATTTAATTCGAAGTTAGTTGCGACCCCCGTTCGTTCACTGTACGTTTATGTGATAATCTCTGTCTTTTTCGAATGTGCTTCTGTTTCAAGGACAAAGTCGACTCCACCCAGACTCGCGAGTTGGAAGAATTGGAGAGGCATCGTAAGGATGGCATCGCTCAACTGCAGAACTATCAAGAAAATCAGCGCCGCGAGATGGTAAAACAGCAGCAAAAAGAAGTAGAGGATTTGCGGAATCGCATCGAGTCCCGAAAGGACTCGCTTGAGGCTGCTGTAAGCATATGCCTGCTCTTTCACTTCATCTAGTTTTGACGCCCATACGTCCCAGAGAATTGTATCTGACTCATTATTTTTTGTTTGTGCGGTCCAACGTGCTTTTTATATCCCCTTTCCATGGCTCGGATAAAGAACCAATAACACTTCCGTGGTCAGTTTATTTATAAATAAATAAACCTTTATCTTTGACAATGCGAGGCACATCTTTACAGGCATGATCATGTCAAGCTAACATAATGTATTGGCGACCGTGTCTCTAAACCGAAAGCAGTTACCAGTGGAGTAATTCAGGGAAGTGTACTTGGTCCACTTCTTTTTCTCCTCTACGTCAACGATGTATTTCATAGAATAAGACATGGTGCTACTTTTCTGTTTGCTGATGACATTAAAATCGTCTACTCACAAGAACGTGCAGATACCCGCGCAGCCTTGTGCTACATTCAGGAAGATCTATCGGCACTTGAATCCTGGTGCAAACTGTGGCAGATGTCCTTTTCCGTGGACAAGTGTAATATTCTGTCGTACAAATGCGAAGTTCCACCAGGCAGTCTATTATTACAATGCACGTTTATATCACAGTGCAAAGTGATTCGTGACCTGGGTGTGCGGTATTCCACTACCTTCAACTTTTCGGAACATTGTGACTTCCAAGTTTCGAAAGCCATGAAGACTATTGGCCATATCTGTCATAAATTTCAACTCACAGAATCTCGTATCTGGCTTTACAAAATATATGTGTTACCTGGCATGGAATACTGCTCACTACTACAGTCGAATCTGCGGAAATCTGACCAGCATGCTCTTGAGAGGGTACAGCGACGCTTTACAAAGAAGCTGTGCGGATATTCCTCCAAGATGACCTACATAGAGCGCAGTGAAAAAGTTAGACTTGACCCACTTTTGCTACGGATAATGAAGATGAACTTGTGTTTCCTGTACAGAATAATTCACCATCACATGCACAATTATGCTGTGTCCATATGTCCGTTAACACTAGATACGAGCTACGAAATAAGGAGACAACGGTCATGATTTCAAAGTTCAATACGCGAATTAGGGAGCGTTTCTTCTTAATACACTGCTCAAAGCTTTGGAACAAACTTCCAAGAGCTATCAGAACTTGTTGCACATTGCGTTTGTTTAAGCTTTCGATAAAAGATCATTTAACCGTTCAAAATGTGATAATAATGTTTCGAACAGCACAGTCCTTAGATAACGCTTTTGAGAACGGAGTTAATGGTGCCTGAAAATGCATGTGGTCAAGTGCACAAGTGGTTATATTTTGTTGGCCCGCAGCACTTTATTCTCTTTTTTTCGTGTGCGATCAACTCTTATGTGACTGCTAAAAACTTGTCAGACGATTGAACAAGAGGAATGTAAATATTTTGGGCCGCTTCGCGCTACACAAATTTTCATTTTGTGCTCACATTTAAAAAAAAATTTATTATACCATGATATGAAACTGCTGTACCATTATTTGATCAGTCCCTTCTGGGAATGGCTTCTCGCATCGTCGAGCCATATACAATTTATTTATTTATGTACAGAAATATATGTTTGGCATGAATGGGTGTATATACATATGTAATTGTAGCTGTGTAGCTTGTGTTCGTGAAAATACCGCAGCATTTCTGACTATTTGTAATTGTCAGGAATGTGCTAATAAGCAATTGATGTCCGTGGGTTGGATGGCATTTTCCGGATATCCACGGGGTCAATGACTTCAGTTTGTGGCGGATGTGAGTCGCCACTAAATAAAATTACTGCCTTTTCCCTTTTCTGGAGGATCATTCACACATCGCGAACGTCATCCGATTCGAAGCGTTCCATTGATTTCCCCCTTTGATGGCGAACCCAACGAACAGAAACACACACACAGAGTCACATTTACCTAATCACACAACATGGCTACTTCCAAATACAGACATAAACATACTTTTACATGTCAACAGACACAGACATTCCCATGCTATTTGTCAAAATATACTAATTTGTGCAGTTGCCGATCGTACATGTCTGTATTACCATGATCACGCCCTTGGTGGTGTGCCTCTCAATGACGAGAATAAGCTATTTATTTAGTTTGGTGATTGTAAATTTTAACTTCTTACACCTTAGGATATGTTTGCGTTTTCTGTCTCGTTTCCACTACCTCGTTAGTACTCTCGTTGGCTATCCGAATCGAGTCTTGGTAAATCTAGCTAATCTAAGCTCTCGTTGCAGGCATTCTGCTTGTCCTCGGTACGTATGATCTCATTGTCAAGTGATGGTGGGCTTAGACTGTGGCGGATTTTTGAAATTGTTGGTTCAAAGACATCTTCCCACTTTGAAATTAGGTGAAAAAGAATATTGAGTCAACGAAAGAGGAGGCACGTAAGAAGATGCGTCGTTTAATGGAGCAGCATGCCCAGGCCCTGCGGGCGTTTGATGCTCAAACAGCCAGCCTCGGAATCGACAATGCTGCGGTCATCGGGGTCTCCGGCCGCACACTTGGACCCAGTGGTGGAAGCTCCCCGGGAACCAGCAGCGGATCCTTTTTTAGTAACAACAGTAGCGGAGCGCAACACCCGGCCGATTGGCGCCACAGTCGGACGGAGTTTTTGCCCTCGTAATGTGCAACCAATCCTTGGTGAGTTCGATCTCGATCACCAGGTAACATTTCATACTGAACGCTCCTAGCTACCTTCTTGCTCCAACCACAAGTATAATAGGTAATTTGACACCAAACTTTTACGTGTCCTGGCTTGTCAGCCACTTATCCATTACTCTGCTTCCACACGTCTCATCCTACGTCTTTAGGCTATTCGGATTAACTTCGTTTCCTTCTCTCACTTCACTCCACCATGAGACTATCGCAGTTGGGTGTTAGGTTTAGTTTGCTTGAACTGTCACTGTAAAGTTGCGTCCGGCGTTACATCAGTCCGAATTCGATTTTCGCTGGTGAATACCTACGCTTATGAATGAATCAGATTTAGTCACCCGTTACGGTCACCGGACATTTAATACAAATAATTTGTATTTTTAGAGTACAGCGAAGAAAAACGGCCTCGCTTAGATGATTCCACAGCACATGCTCCGTCGGATACCCGAACACACTGTTGTGTCTGTTTCGACAAATGGCCACGAAGCAATCCTCTCATACACGCTGTCCTTCTACAGTGCACATGCTTCGTGGTTTTCCGGCGCGCAGACTATGCGCTTCTGTGGTGCATATTTTTTTATCGAATTTCACGTGACCCATTTGTTTGCATCCTCTTTCGAAATGCCCCCCAACAACCCTTCGGTTTCTGTAAATTGATAGCACTCAGAAACTACGACTTAGACAATTTTCTTGCCCCAAGGCACTCGACTCGCGTTGTGTACAGCCCATTGGCAACTGTATACTCTTTGGCTCATTTGTGAGCGTGGATATTTCGCGATCTTAGCTATTAAGACGTCAGATTGTGCTTCATCGGCGCATGCGTGCCAACGGATTTTGTGATTTGAAACTGATGGTTTTCCTTATGTGTCTCCCTCGCTAACTTTTCACAACCCTACATTTGTTTTTCTTGAATACCTTTATCTTTCCCAACTCGAAATACAGTACAAAATATTGTTCTTCCATAGTGTGCTATCATGAGGGATCACCAAGTTAATGTTAAGGTGGGTTTGCACAAAATGCGTCGAGAAAACACACCGATGCCGATAAGATATTATCAATGCTTAAAAATTGTGCAAACAAAGTCACTGAACTCTAGCTGATGGTGACCAGGACAGAAGAGCTCCTTTTTATTAGCAGCAGAAAGGCGAATCATGAAGGGAGACTTTTAGTACAAAAGTGCAGATATCATAAAAGATACAAGCAAAAATTCACGGAAGACAAGATGGCGCAAGCGGCAGAAAAAATTGTGATGCTTTGTATTCGATCGAGAGCAGGAAACGGATCCACGGATTGCAGTCAGATGTATAGTTTGCACAAGAACAGCTGTACAGATTTCGTGGAAACGGTAAAGCAAGCATCATACAAAAGTCTTTGGTATTCTTAATGAGCGAAGGCGATTAGGAGGCACTACGATTTGATCGGAAGTATTATCTCGTCGATTTTTAATCTTCGTCGAATGCACAAGGAGGAAGTTCCAGGATGACCGCTTTCATAAAGGATGCAGCCGCCAGAGCGGCGTAGGGCTGCCACTGTGTTCCTTGTCTACCTTCCACATAGTCAGCCATGCCGCGAATCAGTAGGAATGACTGGAGCCCGTTTCCCAAAACCGATTCCAATACCTTTGGGGGAACGCGAATGAGATTAAGCATGACACGCAACATACTTTTAACTGTGGAATACAGTTCAAAGTCACGGCTTCAGAGAGGGATTGTTTACAAACCTATCTGAAGCTGATACCTCAAAAACGTTGACGCTGAGGCTTGGGCGTGAGATATATCAGAACGGGCTTTTTAACTGGGATTCTCTTTTCCCATTTAACTACCGAACACAACGTAATCAACGTGTCGTTATGGCCCGACAAGTGATGCTGACCAAACGTAACTGATAGAGTCCGACGAAAGTGTGAACTTAGTCATGTTTCTAAGTATCCAGGCTCTGTTTCCGTGTAGCTAATTGACGGATAGAATGGTGCTAGTGACTGCCCCGTGAAAAGCAAGCCAACCCCGAAATGTACATCTCGAATGCGTCGCATTCAGGGGACAGAACTCTTATCGCTAAGAAGCAGGCCCGATAGGCTAGTTTACATTGCGTAAAAACCACCGTTTTGATTCGACTTCGCAGTTCACGATTGCTTGAGGGTGTCCGGCTGACAGCCGAGATCCACCGGATACTCCGCATCGTGGGACACTTGTGCGGAGCAGGAGCACACATGCGTGATTAAAGTGATGCGTACCTGATCGTACTCTGAATCGTACGATAGCAGCTGATGTTCTTTGGCGAAACAGTCCCGCAACTTGTCGTTATCCGTTATTGGCCGACCCGATCCAATGCAACCCAATCGAACAGCGGGTATTCCCGGTGGATAGAAGCATTCCATATTCTCAGGAACCTCTGGATGCTTGATATCGAACGTCACACCCTCGTCTATCTAGAAAATGTGAGCAAATACAAAATGACGTGTGGGTGAGCACAACAGGAGTAATGGAACAGCAGAGCATTAATGATACGCTCATAAAATTGCAGAATCTCTGATCCCGGATTTCGCGAACCAACTTAATGACTGCTCTCACAATCATCCATCGTAAAGTAACGGATGGATAAAAAATTTGTCCGTGCTATACGTCGAGCTGAACTATCATCAGATTCGTTTCGGAATTCTAACTCACTGCACTCTGTATGGGAGCTAAATAATCTTCGTTATTGAGCCAGTGCGACTAATGGCAGAACATACCTTCAACTTCAGTTTATCTGTGTCAGAGGACGGCCTGGCAAAATCGACAGCGTCACCTTCGCCGATTACTTTCACGGCTGAAGTTAGAATCTTGGCCCATTCGCAACCGGCTGGGTTTGATTCGAATCGATTGAGTACTCTGTCGACACAACCCAATAGAACTGGGTCTGGGATGTTGTATTGCTTCAGAACGAATTTGTAGGGAGCGGATGGAGAAACGTCATCGGTTAGTTCAATTAGTCTGTCACAGTAGACGTACACGGGTTCGGGTTGTCTGTCGCATACTCCGCCGTTAGCCGAATGGTCACCGGTTCCATTTGGATTGCGGCACATGGACGAAGTAACGGGAGCGCTGACGACGATATCGCCCAGGCGTGAATGTTTCTCAAATTCGTACACATGAGGAACGCTGCCACCGACACCAACGAGGAATACGTGCTGAACGGCCTGAAATGCACCTGAAGGAGATAAACAGTTGGTTCGTGTAATGAATGTTGCCAAAAATAGACTTCCGGTAATCATGGCAAACGAGTGCCTGTTGGTCACTCGTGATCAGTTGTGACGGGCCTTTTGTAACTTACCAAGTAGGCGGGTCGTGATGCTAGCCGAAGAAATTTTCGCCTGGAGCTCCCTTCCAACCATGGGCAGTTTCGTTGAGATCACGCGGTGAGCCCCAATGTTCCCGATAGTGTACACATGCGACTCTCCTGAACGGAAAGAAAACAAAAATGACTGAGTAGGTCTATCGAGTCATCATCCGTTCGTGACGGCATCTGCCTTAGGCGGCAGTAGCGCACCGGTCAGCGTTAGTATTTTGTGCCATGCGGTGGGTGAACTCACCTCCTTCGGTCTTGTAGCGAACAAAAGTAGTCTTCTCTTCTATCATGGCATCCACGGCCAGTTTTTCACAAAGCAGGTTGGTGATTATTGCGATGGTTGGCTTTTCCGATGTGGACACCTGCTGCATGTGGTTGGCTCCTTTCACTTCTTTAACCTCTGAGATTAAAGGAATAAATAAACATGTGAGGTGAATGGGATGCACGACAAAGGATACCCAGATCAACAGGGAACTCACCGGTCCTGCATCATCAGTCTCAAAGTAGACACATTGTAAGCGACATCCTGCGTTCGGAAGCAGGTGTTTTGTCTAGCGGTGGCATACTACGGCCATTATGGCTGGTTTGAATGATGAAACAGAGCAAAGACATGCATGCCAGTCGCGATTTGTGTGACCTTAACTGACGAAAATAGACAATGCAGAGCCGATGAGATCTCAGATATTGTGAGGGTCGAAAGTGTCTATGTTCATGATAAACAGGGTCAACTTGAGCTTCCCTGCTGCTCTACCTTCTAACCGAGAGCGAACTCCACGTTGATTATCTCTTGTGGAATGCGTGCGGTCCCTCACATATGCCATTGATGAGGGCGCCGAATAAGTGGTTCTTATGTCCACTGGTTGTCTTGAGAAAGACTCTAGTGCCGTTCTCGTGTACCTGCAAATCACTTCTCGGTGTGGACCGATTACCCCTTCCGAACCTGGTGACAACAATACTTAGGAAAGCCTACCGATAATACAGCAAAAAGTGGTAAAGAAATCGACGAGAAACTTGGTCGGTTTGGTGCCTGTCTTCCTTCCAGACGGAGGTCACATAAATGGTTAAAATGGTGTACCTGCATCCGTTTTCTCGCCACTTTCCTTTAACCATTGTGCTTTCCTATGTTTCTCCAACTTGCTAACCATCTAATTTTCGGTGTCGCGGTGGCTCGGGACTTGTCGAACTAAACCAAAATGGATCGTTTATTTCAACCACACTACAGTTTTGCAATGTCTGAGATAGAGTGCACTGGTTAGTGACCGACATGGAAAGCGAGGTTACCGTGATTCGTGATGGTGAATGTGGTTAGGCTCTCTGCTCGGAGCAACCTACGTACTTGTCGGGGCTTAACGTCTAGATGCTGAAGTCTTACCTTGATTCTGCAAATGGATTTTTCGGCGAAACCCAAGTTGACCAACATGTCTTCCTTCCAGTGGGACGAGCTGTACTAGGTCACGTGCTTCCAGAACTTCAAGCTGCAGTTCCAGCATACGGCGGTCATCCACTTCTAGTATGCTGCAAAAGCGGAGAAGACAAACAGAAGGGAATTAGGTGACTTGCCAACGTTGGATGCCAAAGCCAGCTTGTGACTGATTGTCGGTTCATCAGAGCGACATACAGAGTGGGATTCATCAGTGTCGTGTCTTTAAGTGTCAGTATTTTGTGCCGACAAATCGTTAAAACAGCCATAGCCGGGTGAATGAATCCTGGTGCGAATCAGCTCTCCTTAGGCTCGCATTACCCCAGGACAATAAAACTGGTCTCACAGATGACTCAACAATCAATTGTTTAGAAAGAACACGAAAGGCCACGCTCCACGCCCATTATCATTCGGCCCGTAGCCTCAAAGATCCCATGCGTGCCTTGTAATCTGAGGGCGCGGGTTCGAGCCTGCGTAGGGACCGGGCGACCCTCGTAATATCCTTAGCCCCGATGGGGGTTGCGCAGCAGCGAAGCGTTGGTACTGTGTACCGGTGTACTGCTGATGCTTTTCTTCCCATTAGTCAAGATGCGTCAAACGAAAGATTTACCCTCGACCTACAAGTGAAGGTTCCCAAGTAATTAGATGATGCCAATCGTAAACCAAAGTACAAATTTGTCAGTTTTCTATTTACCATTAACCATGCCTATTTTCGCTTCATTAGGTTGGAATTAAACTGTGTCATTCAACGCCACGGATAGTCAGTGTGCGGTGATGATCGAACATCGGAGTTCTCTGTAGGGAGTCATATATTTTGGCGTTGGAGCAAAAGGCTCACAAGTTCGTGGATCACAACCCAACTTCAGATATCGTACTCCTGTTGCAGTTAATGGTAGCCTATCGCACCATGTATACAGGTGGTCCAAGCAAGGTAACTGGATCAGGTATGGAATCAGTATGGTATGGATCAGTATGGAATACTACTGTTTAAGTCTGCTCTGTATGAGAGTCTGATCATCATCTCCATGAACCCACTGTTTCTGGTGATATTATAATACTTCCGAAGTTGACTGGTTTTTTCTATTGTTTGAACGTTCACCAAGTAAATCTTATGGATCCAGACCTCTGTATGTTGACTACTTGGTCCAGTCCCTTGAGTGGTCAACTTACGGGGGTTTTACTGTAATACAGGTGATACGACACTAATATATCGGATTCCGAGGGAGACGAACCAACAGTAAGCAATCAGATATTCGGCAACGTCATTTCCCGCAAGCAATCCAGCTCCTCTCGAACCTTATTCAAAAAGAGGACGAACAGAATGCCTTTATTAAGCGGTGGGTGGGCACACACAGCATATGTCTAGGCCAACAAAACGTATCTAGCCTTATTTCCTGATTTGACCTACTGACTTGATCACCGCCGTTCGACACTTGTCCGTGTGCCCCATCGTTGTGGACACGTTGGCGTAGTTAACGGCGGTCAAAGACCAGAACACACAAGGTTTCACTACTGTAGCTTAACATACTATTGACTGTAGTACTGTGCGGCACGGCAAACAACGAAGAGAATCACTTGTTCCGGAATCGCTGCAGACTTATGAAGGCAGTTCTAGCTTTTACAACGCTATTATCAACAGACGCTCGTCACTGCTACTGAAGATGACAAGATAGATGGGCTGATCAATCAATTCCAGCTGCACGTTGTCCAAGATTAAAGGGATAGTGGTCCGGGAAGAGTATTTCAGTCCTTGTAGATGGAATATATATATTTACAGTCGGGTTACAATGTGTCACCAGAACCATGGCATAAAAAAGAAAAAAACGAAACGGTAGCAAAAAATGTTCTTTGATCTTTACATTTTGAGTTTGATTAGGCATTAACTAATAAATGATGCAGCGAAACAACACTGGCGCCACTGATATTTGTTGCGGGCGTTAATATCCGAGGTTTCCAACCGCTGGGAGTCAGTGTTACCTGGTCCCCAGCCTGGAAGGTGCATGCTAAGCTTGAAATTGCTTTCTTCATACTTTTTCTCCATGTCATTGGTTGTCCACCGCGGTATTTGTTCCAGTCGCTTCCGTGAAGCGCAAATAACGCCCGACGACGAATGCGATACGTGGTCGAACCAACGTATGCGGTGTCGCAGAATAACGTCTTGGAGGCAAGGGCCGTTCGCCCTAAGCACTCGCACTTCCGTGTAGCCTACGTGGTGTTACCACAACACACAAGTAATTCTTCGCAGACAACGGTAGTCAAAAACTGACAATTGTTTCACGTCACCCGATCGCATAAGCCGTCTCACAACCGCACAAGAGGACCGTACGGACGGAAGCATTGTACACCGTATCCTTAAGCTGGGGATTGACATTACGATGACGCCATAGGTATCTCAGTTTGATGAATGCAAAATGGGCCTCTGTGATTCATTGTGAGACCTCATTGACAACACCACCGCTATCCGTGACGCAACTCCCCAGATAAGAGAAACAGGGGACTTGTTCCATGACGTCACCAGCAGTGGTGAGGGTAGGCACATGCATATGCCAATCCTGGAGTAGTAATTTGAACTTGCTTGGGATGAAATACAGGCCACATTAAGACGTTTCTATCGCTAAACGGTTTAAAGCGCTCTGGACGGCTTATGGATCCTCCCCCAACAAAGTATATCATCGGTGCAATCCAGGTCCGCGACTCTGTTCTCAGGAAGGAACTCAACACGGCAGTTTCAGGCACCTTCCAACGCTCGTTGGACGACATCTTCGATGGCAAGATTGAAGAGGGATGGTAATATAAGGCAACCTTGGTGAACGCAGCTGGTGACGGTAAACGAAGAGGAAAGCCTGTCGCAGGCCCTCACTTTGCCCGACGAGTGACTGTCAAGTTCCTTCAGGTTGGTTACAAACTTGTTGGGCATAGCTTTCCATAGTACACAATTCCCCAAATAAACCAATAGGGTTCATAGAGTTTACTTTTATTTGGTTTGAATCGAATGCTGCTCGGATATCCAAGAACACGACAATTGTTGGTCATCTTTAGACGTGACAGAGTTCAAGTAGTTGGCGAAGTTTGGAGATTTGATCGATCCAACCTGGACGAAACTAGCTTGTTCCTCACGTGAAAATTCGCCTCTAGACGCTGAAAACCTGCGAAGTAGGACTAACACGAACATTTTAGATGAAACAGAGATCGACGAAATTTCCTTGTAATCGGCGCAATCTTCGTGGGAGCCTGACTTGTGAATCCACACAATGCGCGAATCTCCCCATGAGTTTAGAACCTTCTCACCAGTTCAAACCTTCGTGAAGAGCAACGGGATTTTGTGGGCAAGTACATTACCGTCATCTTTCAATAGAGCTGGGGGTTTGACACTTTGGTAGGAGGATCTGTGGAGAGAGACCAAGCACCACCCGAGAGAAGCAGTTACACAGGGGGGCTGCGTTGATTAGTTAGAATGAACAGTGTAGTGCTCTGCCCATCGACGTAAGCACCTGTCCAGGTCGGTGATTTTCGTGCGGTCTGACTGATAGCGTGTGATTTGCAACCGGTAGCCTTGACGAGGTAAAATAAATTGCACAAGTTTCCGTCCGATGAAACGGCTTCCATCTCTGCAGCTCGTTTTGACCAGTAGAATTCACGGTCAGAGCAAAGGCTTGCCTTCAGGCGTTGAGAGATAGTCGAAGGGATTTCGTTGTGCTCCGCATCGGCAATCACAGCCTGTCGAGGATCCAGCAGTTCCGAGGAACTTACGAGATCCAGCTTTTGGCCGTGCAGCAGGTGAGGCCGAAACTGGACAAGCCGACGGATAGCATGGCTTGTCACAGACCTGACATTGTTGGCCAACATCCAGAGTAGAGCAGAGAGTGGGATTTTCTCGAAGCTTATTTTGGTACTCCATCTTCACAGTTGGGCCCTTCAATTTGTAGGTTTTCAATCGCGTTCGTTTGGTCCTACATGAGCTCCAGAAACGCATTCAAACTGTCGCACACACTAATGCATGATCATTTTCAACGCAAGTTGACCAAAATGATCGGTAACCGGGTACGTTGCCGCGCCACCTGCGACTTATGGCTAAGTGATCAATTTGTGACCAGCGCTGAGGTGGTGGAGGACGCCATGTGGCATAATATAGTACAGTTCGACAAAAACTCGTGCTAGAGAGAAAAATTTGGTGGTCAGCACATAGACAGATCATTTTTCTCCGTTGTCAGAGCATCGTCATCATCATCAATACACGTTAGCTGAGGGTGAGAAACACACCTCAACTAACGTGCCGCAGTACAAAAAGAACACTGTACGAAAATTCAAAAAGTGAGTAATATACTATCAAGCATTATACCACACTAGATATGAGATCGTGATTGGAGGGGAATCTAAAGAAGAAGGGGATGGACAAAGAAACTCACAACACGAAAGCCACTGGGGTCGGCTCTTTGCCAGATTAACAAGTGTGTCCAACCGAAAGTGTCCATCGTCGTTGGGACCCTAGCCGGGTAGACGGGATGCACCAACCGACGCCAACTTCGAAGTGAGGGCCCTCATTACTTTTGACTAAGCCATTGCTTGGTCTCCGCTCACCTTTCATTCCCACCCCGGCGCGCAAACAACCCACGACGCAGGAGTCGGTGGGCTGGCATGCGCAGTACGTGGCCCAGCCATTGGAGCTTGGTGCGTGATATAATGGTGTTGAGCGTTGCACTCGCTCTTCCTACATCAGATACACGACGCCGAGCACATTCATTGCTCACGCGGTGCACCCACCAGACATGAGCTAAGCTGCGAGACAGCGATGGTCGAACCTAGTTAGCATCTTTATGTCTGTTGAATGATGGGCCAGGTTTCACAACTGTATAAGAGGGTTGAACGGACGTTGTCAGAGCGAATGTCATCATATCCATGCGATCCTCCGAGGTGGTGTACACAGCAGCAACTAACTGACACGTGAGTTGAAGTCTCCTGGCTTAACGATGATGTCTTTTTTGAGCGCCATTAGGAGCAGCTCGTGAAGGTTTTGGTAGAATTGTTCCTTGACGGTAGCCGTGCTGCAGTCAGTGGGTGCGTAGACGATCACAAAAAATACATGCTTGTTGACTTG